TTCCTGGACGACCTCGACCAAGAAGCGGGACACCAGATTCGCTAGAGGACATTCTGGGTCCTGAGTTCCAGGATGACGAAGCACAAGAAGATGGCGACGAGGAAATGAACGACTTTGTCATTGATGATGATGGCGCAGGTTATGCACCCGCCATCAATGCGGCAAAGAAGCGTTCGAATGGGCACCTTGCAAACGGCGTAGAACCCGCATCAAAACGACGCGCATATAGCTCCGCTCTTTTCCGTCCCCAAGTCCATGAGCCCTTCCAACCGGGTAGCACACCATGGCGCGGTAACCGGCGGCTGCTATGCTGTTCGTTGACCGGATACGTAGAGACGGTCGAGCAAGAAGGCAATCACCATACAGTTACTGTGAAATTCTACGACGAGCATACCTTTCGCAATTTCCACTTCACCGACATTTTCCTCTACGACAAAGCCTGCCTCAACGAGAAAGGGACGCTATTCGCCTGCCAACCGAATAGCACTGGAGAGGAAAACCAAGCCATGATCTACTACCGACCGCACGAGATGTGGACAACAAGAACGGAGTGGCGGACCAACCTGCCGACAGGAGAGTCTGTGACAGCAATTGCCTTGTCTGACTCTTACGTGTGCGTCACAACCTCTACAAACTACGTGCGCATATACTCTCTTTTCGGCCTACCCATCCGCGTATACCGTCAAAAGAGCTCTCCCGCAGTAACGTGTGCAGCCTGGCGCGACTACATTCTCACCATTGGCAACGGACCCATCCAAAACGATCTCAGCACACAGCTCCTCTACACGATTGAAAATATCAAGCACGACATCGTGTACCAAGACTCCGACATCCTTGCCTTACCCCCAGGCACCACACTAACTTCAGTCTTCTTCTCCGCAGAAGGCGACCCGTACATTTACGATTCTGAGGGCGTCCTCTTAACGCTGCTTGGATGGAGAAACACGGGGCAAGCCCGTTGGGTCCCCATGCTCGACACAAAGCTCCTTTCGCGCCGCGCCGGCGGCGGAAAAGAAGAATCGTACTGGCCCGTTGGCGTTGCGTCCTCGCCCTCGGCAGACAACAGCAGCAGCAACGGCAAGTTCCACTGCATGATTATCAAGGGCAGAGAACAATATCCCAGTGCGCCTATCCCGCATCTTTCCGAATTTGGTTTTGAGATTCCGTTGTCAAGTGCAATTGATAAGAGGAAGAAGGCGAAGAATGGGAAGGGCGGTGCAATGTCTGATGACGAGGAAGATGATGAAGATGATGAAACGACAAAGCCGCAGACAAATGAAGATAAGCAGCAGGAGCATGAACAGGCGTTTATCCTCTCGTCGACATTGCACTCGCAGTTGTCATCGACACTGCTTCACACTCGGCCTACGTCTTCGCAAAAGGCGGCGCTAAGTGCGCTCGAGGTAGCGATTGATCGCGCGCTACTGCAGTTACTCGGCTTGGAGTGTCTGGCGGGTGAGGACCATGGTATGAAGGCTCTGGAGATTGTAAGCTTGATGCGGGATGCCAATGGCAAAATGTTGGATCTGGCAGGCAAGGTTGCTTCACGCTATGGTCGTGAGGTGCTGGGTGATAAGATTCGGGAGTTGGCTGAGAAAAAAGCGCTGGCTAGGGACGATGACGAGGATGATCTATAGACTATGACAACTACATAGATTCACGTTTCTTACACAAAATAATCCACGAGTCAAAAGAACATCACGACATGGTCAGCGCTGAAAAATGAATGTTGCAAGACAATGCCATTTGACAATTTATTGGCCATTACTAAAAAAAAGGTGGTAGTGGTAACATAGAAAGAGGGCAACTAAACCCAAATCGCTTGATGTCTGAAGAGTGCACGCTAGCAGCTCCTCTCAAAAGTCGACTGCTTGTCAAAGTCAAAACGGTATATGCTCTCTCTTGCCAGAGAATTAGAAAACAATACGCGCGAATGGCAAGCGAGGAGCATGCCAATCAACTATGCACAGCCGAACTGCTCTTGGCCACAAGCTCGAGCAACGCAACAAGACATCTAGTACTCTGCCTCGGCACCCTCCTCGTCGTCGCCAAGGCTGTCGGCAGCAACCTCCTCGTAATCGCGCTCAAGAGCAGCAAGATCCTCACGGGCCTCGGAGAATTCACCCTCCTCCATACCCTCACCAACGTACCAGTGGACGAAAGCACGCTTGCTGTACATGAGGTCGAACTTGTGCGAGAGAGCAGACCAGGCCTCGCTAATGGCCGTGGTGTTGGACAACATGCAGACGGCGCGGTTGACCGAGGCGAGGTCGCCGTTGGGGACGTTCTGAGGTGGCTGGTAGCAGATACCGACCTTGAAACCAGTAGGGCACCAGTCAACGAACTGGACGGTGCGCTTGGTCTTGACCTGGGCAATGGCAGCGTGTGTGTCCTTGGGGACAACGTCACCACGGTACAACAGGCAGGTAGCCATGTACTTTCCATTGCGAGGATCGCACTTGACCATCTGGTTGTTTGGCTCGAAACAAGCGTTGGTGATCTCATTGACCGAGTTGGCCTCGTGTGCGGCCTTTGCGGCGGAGATGACGGGAGAGTAGGCGACGAGAGGGAAGTGGATACGGGGGTAGGGGACCAAGTTGGTCTGGAACTCGTTCAGGTCGACGTTGAGGGAGCCGTCGAATCGGAGCGAGGCAGTGATTGAGGAGACGACTGGAATTGGATTAGTCAGGAACCGGATGTAGGGAAAATATTCAAGTGAGCAACGTACCCTGAGCAATCAGACGGTTCAGGTTCTCGTAGTTGGGGCGCTCGATACCGAGGTTCCTTCGGCAAATGTCGTAAATGGCCTCGTTGTCGACCATGAAGCTGCAGTCGGAGTGCTCGAGGGTGGTGTGGGTGGTGAGAATGGAGTTGTATGGCTCAACAACGGATGTGGCGACCTGGGGCGCTGGGTAGACACAGAACTCGAGCTTGCACTTCTTGCCATAGTCGACCGACAGACGCTCCATGAGCAGAGCGCCGAAACCTGAACCGGTACCGCCACCGAAGGAGTGGAAGACGAGGAAACCTTGCAGACCCGAGCAGTTGTCGGCAACGCGGCGGACCTTGTCGAGGACCTGGTCAATGAGCTCCTTTCCGACTGTGTAGTGGCCACGAGCGTAGTTGTTTGAGGCATCCTCCTTGCCGGTGATCATCTGCTCGGGGTGGAAGAGGGAGCGGTAGGCACCGGTGCGGACCTCGTCGACGACATTGGGCTCGAGATCGGCGTAGATGGTACGGGGGACGTACTTGCCCTGGCCTGCGCAGTGCGAGTTAGTGGTGCATCCGACGCGTGCGCAAGGGTGGCTGCCTACCAGTCTCGGAGAAGAAAGTGCTGAAGCCGTGGTCGTCGTTGACAGCCTTGCGCTCCTCAGTGAGGTAGCCGTCTGGCTGGATGCCGTGCTCAAGGCAGTAGAGCTGGCACAGTTGGTCAGCATCAGTGCAGACTGGCGGTCAGGCACAAGGCACCCGACGCCCTCCTTTTTCCGCTACTCGAAGCAGACTCGAGGGCGCGGCGGAGCGGATTGTCGAGTACTCACCTCCCAGCAAGAGTTTGCGATTTGGCAACCGGCTTGGCCGACTAGACGCGTACAAAGTCAGCATCAACAACGAGGCGGGCCTGTCCCACCAGTCGGGGGGCGGCCAGGGTGTGGGCAAGCATAGGCGGCTACTTACCGTTGAGACTGATGACTTCTCTCATGGCTGAATTCGAGGCGGAATAGTAATTGGGGGGATATATGGAAATGCTCGGTCAGGGGGGGCGTCCGCGAGAAAGTCGAGGAGCAGCTGGTGGTGGAGTGGAGCAGTGGGTGGGGGGGAGAAGCAGTTGTTGTGTTTGCGGAATCGAACTTTTAGGGTGCAGAGGACCCGGCCTACCACGGGCCACGGCGCTAACCGCTGCACTGCATACTCGACATACACATCTATGCACACACGGGCATGCCTTCACACCTCCCCTTGCACCTGCCGGCCTCTCCATGGCCAGTGTCTTGTTCCGCGTCTTGTGCTCCATCGCCACAACACCACCAGCACCACGACCAGCAATGCACATGCAATTGTCCCGCCCATCCCCCACGTGAGAGAATGCGCCGTCTCCATCCCGCCCTCCCCCAGAGTCCCTGTCCTGCCGTCCAAAGATGCGCCTCGTCGCCCGCCTGCTGCTCTGCACCGTCACACTGGCCTGGACGGTCAACGCAAACGTTGAGAAGACGATATTCCTCGGCCCCCGTGCTGCAGCCCTCTCCAATGCTCTCCCCAGCATAGACACGCTCGCTTCAAGCGCCCTGTCGCCCGCCAGTTCCATTCTGTCCACCCGCATTCCTGTCGAGTTTCCCACCGAGTCAGCGCCACGCGGTCTCGAGTCCTGGCACCTTGTTCGCCGCCTCGACCACGGGCGCAGGTACGAAGTCCGCGTCTGCTGGCCAGCAACAGTGAGTCCAATCCCACTTCCCCCGCCTCGACGGGCCAGTCCTAACCATACCCCAGCAACCAACCGACTTCTGGCTTGATACCTACACCCTCGGCCACGTGCTCAATACACCCGGCCTCAAAGCCTCGCTCGTCCGCTACAGTCAACAGGATCAACTCGACGACCACAAAGGCACTGGCGCCGACTTGAATGCTCCCGAATCGGCTCTGTTGCTACGTCTCCAGGCTGCAGCCTCCTACTACTCGACTAATCGCACACTGATGCTCCATCCGCCCCCGGTAGACGTGGATATCAGTACGTTGTCATTCAATGCTTGCACACTATCTGGTCTGACTTGTGTAGTTCTCGATCCCTTCCTACTGAACGTCTTCCCTCAGTCACTTGGCCCTGTCGCTGTATACATCACGCTAGTCGCTGTGTTCGCCTACCTCTTTTCTGGTTATATATTCCGTTGGCTACTCTCTGTCGCCGCTGAGCCATCCAGCAAACCACATACCGATTGAGCAAACACTCGTGTATGCCCAGTCGCATATCTCTCCCAAGGTCGTCACAGCTTGACTCTAGGCATAGTCCTTTGGCTAGCTGATTCTGCACTCGACCTCTATACGCCAACACGTGAGCATGTCTGCGGCCGCTGGAGCTCCTCCTCCACCGCCACCGCCGCCGGGGCCATCTACCCATGGCAATCCTTTTGACAACCTCCCTGCCGAACTACTCCTCATAATCTACGAGTATGTGGGCAATAGTAACTTGATCAATCTTGCCTTGGCCATCTATCCTACCTTTCAGCGCCACAATCTCTCCCCAAAACTTACCCCGACCACTCTCGCCCACATGCTGAGCCTGTCAAGTAGACCTCCAATGTATCCAGGAGTAGTCTACATGCCTGCAGAGCTTTGGCTGTGTGTTGCTCGCTATCTAGAACCTGCTGATATCCTATCCATGATGTTTACTTTCGGGGCAGTCTTTGGCCAGCCCCTCACCCCAAGTACAAGGGATAGGTTGAGAGTTTGGAGCCGGCGGTTAAGGGAGAAGGGATGACTATGTATGCGTGTAATTGCACAGTATCACATGTCATTTTCATATGTCAAGACTTGCAAAATGAACATGCATCAAATACTATACACATTCAAAATTACTACAAAAACATACTCATAATCCCCGTTGCCCTGTCACATGAAAGAAAGAAAAAATGCGTCGTAAATCAAACGCCACGCTATGCATACAAACCCCCACAGCGCCCGTAAAAATGCCCTCAAACTTTTTTCCCCCCATGTGATTCCCTACACGACCTCACGCATCCCTCGGGAACTCATCCTCCAGCCCAATCGTAACCTTGACATTCATACTACCCAGCTCCTGAATCAAAAGCTTGGCCGCATACGGCATGGTAATCTTGCGGACAGCCTTTTCGCTCTCGCACAGTTTGCAGTACCCGCTGTATCCCATTTGGCCGCCTGTAACATCCATTAGCTTTGCATTCGAAAAAAAAAACAAGAAGGTAGAGGAAAAGGGGAGGGGGAGGAAAACATACACTTCTCACAAACATCCACATTATGCGCATCTGAACTAATCATCAGGCGCTCCAGCAACAACTGCGACGCTCCATACGCAATCAGACAATCACGCTCCATTTCTCCGAGACGCAGACCACCGTCTCGCGCACGACCTTCTGTCGGCTGGCGGGTCAAGATAGCACGGGGACCACGGGCACGCGAGTGCATTTTATCCTGGACCATGTGCTTGAGTTTCTGGTAGTAAATGGGGCCGAAGAAGGTGTAAAACTGATGGGCCTCGCCCGTGATGCCCGAGGTAAGGTAGTCTTTGCCTGTGTAGGAGAAGCCCTTCTCCACGAGAATCTGCGACATGTCTTCGACGGTGGAGCCGCCAAAGGCGGTGCCGTACTCGAGCGTGCCATTGAGGACACCGGCTTTGCCGGAGAGGAGCTCCATCATTTTGCCAACTGTCATACGCGAGGGGAAACCGTGTGGGTTCATGATGATGTCTGGGCAGATGCCTTGGTCGTTGAAGGGCATGTCTTCTTGCTGGACAATTAGGCCCGTGGTACCTTTTTGACCGTGGCGAGATGAGAATTTGTCTCCGAGTTCTGGGCGACGGGTTTGGCGCATCAGTAATTTGATCAGCGTTGTGCCTGATTCGTTTTCTGTGATGCATGCTTTGTCGATATAGCTGCAGTCGGGCAGCTTGTACCTTTCTGGCTTGTCTTTGTACAAGTTCGACGCTGGACCTGCGGTATCTTGAGGTATAGATTTCAACAGGAAGGCGTCGCCGGCCTCCAGGCGAGCGCCGACTTGAGCAATACCATCTTGGCCGATTGCCTGGTGGTTGGGATTTGCTACGTCAAGGGCACCGGCGTTGATGCGATCGGAAGTGTTATTGGCGTACGTTTTGAGAGGCGTGACGTGTTTCTTGAACACTTGACAACGTCCAAATCCTCGATCGCACGATGCCTTGTTGAGAATGAGAGCATCTTCGATATCGTAACCCGAGTATGACATGACGGCGACAGTTGCATTCTGACCTGCTGGAAGCTTGTCGTACTTCGTGAGCTCAATAGTACGCGTCTTGACCATAGGTTGTTGCGGGTAGACCATCAGGTATAGCAGCGTGTCTATCCTATTGAACTGGTTGTAGGCTATGGCACCAATCGCTTGCTTACCCATAGCACATTGGTAGGTGTTACGAGGCGACTGGTTGTGGTGAGGATAAGGAATGAGACCGGCGACAGCGCCCAAAATGGTAAACGGCTCAATCTCAAGATGCGTTGTGTGTTCGTTGATGTCACTCTCCCTAAGGGCAATGTTGGTATCGTTCTCTTCGTTGGTGTCGAGATACTCGACGAGACCTCTTGTTAGGAAATCTTCAAACTCCATAGTACCCCTGCGAAGCGCTTTCAGGTACCGCGAGGTAACTTTTGAGTGTTGATTCTCAACAATGATCATTGGCCTACAGATTCGCCCTTCGTCAGTAGCGATGTGGACTTCGCAGTGGTCATGGTCGATATGAATGCTGGTAAACTCGGAAATACGTCCCATTCGTCGCAGTTTCCGGAAGCTGTTGAGGAATCGCTTTGGAGTGTCTGTGACAGCAATGGGCGTACCGTTGAGACAGACACTATAAACACCCTCAGCATGAATCTCTTCTCCTGTTTGCGAGCAAATGTCCTCAGCACCCAACATGAACACAATCTTGCGGACTGGGTCATCATCGTCTTCGGTTGTAATGTGCGTCATGAGTGCCAAGTTCTTGACCAGACCACAAGCCTCTCCTTCTGGGGTATCAGAAGTACAAAGCATACCAAATTGTGACGGCTGAAGCGCTCGAGGACCAGACACCTTGCGAGTTTTCTCGAACTGCGAACTGATTCGCGTCATCATACCCAGTGCGGCAATGTAACTGAGTCGGCTTAAGACGTGCGTGACTCCGGCCCGCTCCATCTTGAATCGCTTCAAACTCCAGTTTCCGGTAGCAATCGCGCGCTCGACGCCCATAGTGATGTGGTTCTTGTGGACGCTGAAATGGGAAAAGGCATCAAACTCCTGCGCCCTGACTTGCTTCTTTAGAACCTTGTCGATGCTTAGCTTGAAATCGTGATTAAAGCGCTTGAAGTGGTCTTCAAACAAGAGGGATAACATCTGCCCAGACAGTTCGAGACGTTTGTTGCCAACATAGTCGCGATCATCTACCAGCTTCGGGTCTTGCATCGCCATCAGAACTCTCCGGGCCATAAGAGCTACGTATAGCGCCTTGGGCCGGTAATTTGTGCCCTCGACTGGAACGTGGGGAAGGACGACGTTTGATAGACATTCAATCGCCTCAAGGTGGTAGTTCCTGTTGCGCGAGGTACCGAGCGGCTTCTTGACTAGCCGTACACGGTGGCCAATATACTCCAGCGCCCTTTCTTGTGTATGAATCTGCTCCCTTGCACACGCCTCAAAGTTGATGGCAAAGTTGTCCTGGTATGCACTGTCTTCTCCGGCAATCATGAGAAGAATTTCTTTATCAGAATGAACTCCTAGTGCCTTCATGACGAACACGATTGGAATCTCTTCAGAGAGTGTGTTGTGTCGAAGGTACATGAGTCCTTTCTTTTGGATGACATACGTTTTCGTCCGTCTCTCGTGGGTGGAGCTCGTAACGCTGGCTTGCATAATTCCCTTTGCGCTTTCAACAATGACTCGGTTCTTGTTCAGCTGCTCTTGAACAAGGATAACCTTCTCTTGTCCACGCGTGATGAAGTAGCCACCTGGATCTAGCGGACACTCCTCCATGACAGCCATTTCACGATCGTTCTTGCCAGCAAGTACACATTTGTTACTCTTCAACATAATAGGCATCCTGCCAATCTTGATTCCCGTCCGCTTGACCTTTGCGTTTCCCCTAGTGTATATGATATCTACTACTATCGGCGCAGCATATGTCATGTCACGTAGCCGGCACTCGTTGGGTGTAATGGTACTGCGGTGGTGCTCAAGGTCGTCTTCTTCTTGACGATTCGGCGACAGTACGCGGATGTCCGTGTATTCGAGGAGAAATTTAGGGTCGAAGTCGCTACGGACGAAACGGTTGGCCTTGATAATCTTCTTCAAGTCGACATCGACAAAATGGTTGTAGGAGTCAACGTGCTGTTTCACGAGACCCTTGGTCTTCAAAAAGGCTGGCAGTAGATTCCACTTGTCGCGCGCAGTGTTGATCGGGTCGGTTAGACTCTTGCCATAGTAGAAAGGCTCAAGAAGAGCGGCAAACTCGTCTTTCGCGTGGGTGAGTGGCGCTCGTCGTTTTCGGGTCTGATCTGCTGACATAGAAGCCCCAGGATTGAGATCCGTCGCGCTGCCTCCAGCAGTCGCTCGAGGTTTGGACCCCTCAGAATCAATCTCCATGGAATCCTCGCCGTCGACCTTTTGCACTTCGGGTGCGCCAGGCGCAACCTTCGCCTTTGTCGCCCCGCGCGGGGCAGCTTTGGGTTTGGGGGTCGCAACTTCCTTTGCACATGTTAGTTGTATACGAGCATTTGTATACCAGTGTTTTTACCTTTTTGCCCACCATGTTTGCGACAGTAGAGCAGGGGAGCGGAAGTTGGAGGAGGGTTGGTGAGTTTGTTAGAGCTGCTGCAACAATTTGGCGTTCGGCGAGTCAGACATGCAGGTGGAGAATCAATCCTGACCAATCGGTAATCCGCAGTAGATTCATCTAGCCGGACTATGGGAGTGACCGCATATGCACCATCACCACAAGGGCGACGTTGACTGCACTGGAAGGACCATAAGATACATGATTTTTCAGAAATATTCTCATCATTCCAACACAAGATTTCAGAACTTCACGCTACACCATCTGATTCAACGCTTATATAGATACTTTGTTACCGACAAGCAACTAGAGATGCATGCGTAGTTCATATCCCTCGATAACCATGGTTCTGCCATATCGTACAAGCCATCCGATCCTCTGTCCAACTTCGTAGCTACAAATCATCCCACGTATCCCCCATTCATAATAGTTTAGGCACAATGCAGCCTTTTGCAACCGCTGTCAAATATTACTGGTATCTTCCCAAGTCTCAAATTTTGGACGGAGCTTCACTTAGAAGGCGTCGCGCACATCTGCTTCACCATTCAGACCCCTCAGCGAGCTTTCAGCCAAATCCACCTTCAATTGAGCCGTCTCCGCTTCACGTTCAAGACTGTCCCACTCCCTCAGCTTCTGTCTCTTTGCATCCTCCTTCTTGTCAATCAACTCCCTGAGCTTCTGTGCCTCTGCCTCTAGTTTCAGAATCTTACTCTTGTCATACATTTCAGGGGCTTTCTGGCCTCCAGGAATCTCCTTGGGCAAATCGGCTAGATGGTCGCGGAAGCGCATTGTACGTGGATACGTTGTAGCGGTAGAGTTGTTTGAGCCGCGGAAAGAGGACGCAAAAGGCGCTGCTCCTCCGGGACCGCTGCTACTACCACGAGGACCAGATGGTGCGCCACCATAGTAGCCTCCTCCCCGAGGTCCTGCGCCCCACGAACCTCTGCGTGAAGAAGATCCAGAGAAATCTCCTCGTCCTTCGTACCCACCGAAGCCGCGACCTCCACCGCGGGGCCGTGTTGGAGCCGTTAAAACAGGGTTACTTCCTCGAGGAAATGCCGGAGGTGGCGCCGCCGAGTTTGATGGACCTGCTGGTGGGGATATGGCAGGCGAGGGGTAGCT